CGTTTTATTCAACGTTTTACAATAGACAATTAAATTGCAACAAAAATTTATTTGTGTTTGTTTTTAGTCTGCAGCATCAGTATTTCAAGAATGTTTCAAACTCTTCTAAATTGTGAAACATAATGTGTTGATTCCATTAAAAAAAATATTTGCACTGTGACTGAGCTCATTAATATTCATAATTGTAAATGAGTTCTGTTAATTAATGAAGGAAATGTACGTAAATGATATGCAAATTATTATGCAATTTAGTTGCAGCGCTATGCATTTTTTCTGGAAAGAACCCTGTGGCTAATTATTGAAACCCAGTAAATAACGGTATGCTTAGAATATCAACATAGTGAAATGAAATGCCAGTGTAAATAAATGTTAAGTATTTCTACCCATCATTGCTGAGAAGAGTGCCCTCTAATGTCTAAAATAGACATATGGTATACACATACAACAGGTAAAATATACCTCACTTCACAAGATGTCAGTCGAGCCTTACCTGTTAAGTATTCCATTTGAAATAAGTGCTTCTTTTGGGTAGAAATATTTATAGTAACTTGTCCGCACCACAGCATCTGTCATAAACAATCACAAAGATATCAAGCAATTTTTAACGATACAATATTAGGTAATATGCACTTTTGGTCTTTGGTTAACAGTCTGAGTGTAACTTAAAATTTACCTTCCAAAGTCACCATACATCTAAACTGTGAGTAAGCTAGTTAAATATATCTCATTACTACTAACTGTAAATACTTTTATTTTAGCGGGAAGTCATCTAACTCTTTGGATGTTTAGTACGATATTTATTTTCAGAATGAGTTGAATGTAAAATATAGAAAAAAAGAAAAAGAATCACCTCTTCAGCATAATAATGAAAATAAATTCCAAACAAAAATAAAGTATTTTACTATAAAAAGGTTAAATACTACAAATAATAAGTTGAAATTATTGATGACAAAATTACTCATTTCAAAAACTGCATGTTTTTATTAAAATGCAATGACAGCCCAGAAGTTGCGCTCGGACCGTACTGTAAAACTAAACCACCACATCCATGTAGTTTGATAATCAGCCAATTGGCCATTTTATCACATAAATTTAATTTTTGTTTTTTTACGTCACATTTGAAAATGTATATGCCACAGAAATGCATGGATGAATAAGAATTGTTGACTTGAGCTTTTAGACAGATTTGTCCACAGCACAGATTAAAAGATTCATATCCTTTCATATCCTTTTTTTTTGTCAGGTTAAAAAAACAACTCATTCAGCTAATTTATATACAGAGAATCATGTAGCAAATTGCGTATTCTACTGCAACATACACTTTATATAAATCAATATTTTTTACTGGTGTTAAATTTACTTTTCTGTCGGAGATGACATGTTTTCACATGATGGTTAATTGCACCGGGCACCATAATGTTTCGTAAACCTACATTGCAAACCATTCAGTTGAATGTAATTTTAACTTTAATGATTCAGTATACAACAGATATTATTCTTGGTTTATATGCATGTTTATTGGTGATGTGTTTTCAATACAGCAAATACGGTCTAACAGTGTTTTTAATACTCACAAATCAAATATTAGACTGCACTACAACAAAACAATCATTTTGCACTTACCACTATTCACCATAATACCATAGTCTTCTAGTAAAAAGTTAATATTTGTATCAAATTTGGTTTCTCCGCCTTCCCCCATGAGAACTAAGACGCTGCCGCCATCTTCTATGTACTTCTTGATCACATCAAACTAGAAACAAAATTCAATAGTTCTTTATCTGGGCTTGAACTTCATGGAGGTATTGAAAGCAATTGCCTTGATGCCCAAAGAGTTTGCCTTAATACCGTTGATATTTTATTCCTATGTGCTAAGGCAATTTTATAAATTTTGGCCTTGAAATGGGTTACCTCTCCAATTTCAAAGTTCAAGCCCTGCTGTTATGAATATGGTAGTTTTATAGGAACTAGAGATAATGTTAGGATCCATATTCCAACTGAAATTTAAAGAAACAGATATCAAATACACCTTGAATCAGGTGTATTTGAATACAAAAATGCATAAAACTGAAAGTAACGCTCCTCAGATTATTTTATTATTTCAAGGATTTGTTAACAATAAGGATATACATGATGATGTATTTGTACCTCTCTATGCAGTCATGTTTTCATTTTTCATAAGAAATCACAACAACAGGCCTTGTCTTTTCAAAAATAGTAGACCAGCCAAAACTAGTTCTTTTCAACACAGTACAGCGAGTGTATAGCAGAGCTATGCAAGAATGTAGGTCTTGATTTGCGTGAGTGATAGGAGAGTGGAGTGATCACTCTCAAATTTGCATAGGTGTGTCTGTTCATGAAGAATATTTGGTTATCCAATTTCCTGATAGACTCATTGAGAACACTTTTGTGAAAATAGATTATTAGTATGAAGATAAAAATAAAATTTTGTATTTTTAAATTACTTTTTGCATGTAACTGTGAAAGCAGTAACTTCAACAATCATAATCTTTATTCCTACCTCTGGTGCTGTAAATTTTTCCCTTGGTCCTGCAATAACAAAGACTTTCACCTGTGCTAGCTTGGCTTCCGTGATTTCATCTTTATGTCTGTAAAACAAAACATTGGTCTTTTTTAGAACTACTTTAATTTGATGCAATAGAACACAAACTTTTGTAGACGGTGTTACCTGCCACCTGATCGTTTTGTTGTAGTGCAGTTGGTGTGAATGAAAATGGTAGAATAAACAATAAATCAGTTGTGAAACCTTTGGTTTTTTTGATGTTTTGCATGTTTTCAGATGAACACATACCAGACAGAACAGAATTATTCAACAGTGTCAAATAATCAATTTATGAAGCAATATTGAGTTCAACATTGAATATTAACGTAGAAATATACTGTAACTCGTGAGTTAAACACTTACGTTGCAATCTTCCAGTTTGTCCGTAGTTTCCTGTGAAGGGTTTTGAAACCATTCTGTATAGAAAATAATTCCTTTTTTGAACTGTCGAATAATATGGTAGTACGCTGTCCTTTCTCATCCATGTCGTTCTGTAATATTATAATAAGGATGCCATTTGAGAGATGAAAATTACCATATTTGCTTTATTAGGAGCACATCTTCAATGGAAGCATTTACATTAGCCAACAATTGCATATATTGTATAGATATCATGACAAAATGAAATACTTTGACCCTAGTAAATTGTAGTTGATACTAAATATAGCACATGGATTATGATCGGTTCCTTCTAATCTGTTAGTAATTCTGAATCACTACTATGTAACATTACCATTCACATGATAGTAATACTTCGTCGTTGTTTTTTTACCAGTCTGTATTTTGCACACTAGCCAGAGTGATAAATAAATATAAACAATACAACACACAGATCTGAATATTGACAATGTGTTTGATGCTAAAAAAATTCTCTTTCACAATCTACCTCAAAATGTTTCCTTTTCAACAATTTTTATGATATTATGTTTGTGTAAATTTTATTATGTATAGGTTATAAAATGACATGCCCTTTATACATGGTTTTGTATAAAGGGCGTGTCATTTTATAACAGGCTTCTAACATAGCAACAATTTATTCAATTTTATTTTTGTTTTGCGTGGTACAGTCAATCAATATCAGCTGACAAAGCTAAGTTCTAACTAACTTCTCTCAATCTATACAGAGAATATAAATCGTGATTCTGGCGATCTGATTGGTGGAGGGCGCATAGCCATGTTAGAAATATAGGAATTGTTCATTCCGATCACATATTTTCCGATGATTGATGCAACACTGGATCAATGGCATACAATTTCAATTACAGTACTCTAAGAAATGTTATCATCTAATACATGTATGCACGCATGTTACTGGTTGTAAAGGTTCTCACATTTGCAGGAAGTTACAGATTACATAAGATAATGAAAGATGAATTAAAAAATAACAAAGCCTATCTCTAGAGATTAGATTGGACAACTTAGGAACCAAGGACAGCTGGTAGACACATTTATTTCCCACTTCAATGACTTTAACTATAAAACATAGTCATGCAAGATCCAAATTTAAGTAGAATACTCAAGAAACACTGGGAATTATGTACATTTTCACTATACAATACCTTTTATAGCAAAATACAGACAAATACATATTTTAGGCAATGCGATAATTTCACTTGTATCTCAATGAAATGGTCAAAGGTAAAAACAAAACATGTTTACGTTTAGTACAAATGTTTGGCAAATATGATAAACAGGTGAGACTCCTAGATACCCCTTATTCTATACCAGTACATTTTAAAAGACCATTAGCAATTAGTATTCCCTTTGATAGACAGAAATGCCTCATTACAGTATTATAGTACAACTCCAAGTTAGCCTGAGGCAGATCTTGGTTTGCTAAACAAAATGTATCATAATTTTGATGTGCAAGACTGGAGAGTAATGGTAGCAAACCACTTCCACCATTGATGCCAAAAGAAGCCACTCATAATAACAGGTTTTGCTAGACAGTGTTCTCACTAAACCATAACCTGCCACAGACACACAAAGATTTGCTGTGACGCAACAACTAGTTGTACTTATTCACCGTCACATTTTCATGGTGTCATATTTTCTGCGTTACATTACAATAAGTATAGTGATCGCAAAAAACATCTTACTATAGTTGTGAACTTTGTATTTTGGTAAAATGAAATTCACATTTTATAAACAAAATAAGCATAAAAATGAAGAAATCTGAGGCCACAACATCAATATCCTATACAGCCACATACAGCATCATTTTTCCTTAAAGACCAATCTTTCCAGCAGTCTCAACTTGATTTTGACGAATTCCATTTTGACTCTGCATTCTTACAAAATCAGACCGGTTAGAGGACACACTTGTCGCATACGACTTATTTACCACTTCCGTGTCACTGAGAATGTTCTAGAACTGTACTGTGTCTGGGTGGAATATTCTAGATTTTTTTTAGAAAATGGTTGAATAGGTAATAGAACACTGTAGGAGGCAATAGAAGGTAATGGAACATTCTAGAAATTGGTAGTAAGTTCCAGACTCATTATGTATGCTGATGTAATGGTCTATTTATAAACAGTGTGGGTATATTATAGAGGAGTTGTTCAGCACTGACTTCAGATCGGAGATCTCGTTGAATTGTGTTGGAGTTTAAGTATCTAGTTATTGGAGTAGTGGAGTTTTACCGCGTTATTGTACTTGATGTTTGCAGAGTATAATAATACCAGTACCAGTTGAAACCTCATCTGTTGGCTCCATGTCCGTATGTTATCATCGCCGCCAGGAAAGTCTTTATGTTACTGTTGCCATTTTGGTATTTGAACCATCACACCAGTACTATACCAATTACGGTAGTACACAATCTGATTAAAATCTGATGTAGTGTACGGGCTTTAATTATTTTGGCTATAAACTTATTTTAATTTTATGTTTTATTACTTTTGTTATTAATGCCTTGTTATTTTATTATTTTACTTTGATTTTGATTTTGTGATTTTTTTTTTAAATTCCGCCCTACCTACATCTGAGCCGATGCCTATGTAACGAGATTTCAATGAGACCCACTGTCGACGATTTTAGTCAACGAATCACAGACCTTCTTCTATAGCGCACATGATGACGTCACTGGGCAGAGTCAGGTGGCAAACACACTCAAATAAAATGGCGGATTATACCGACGTTAGCGACCGAGAAGAACACTGCTTTTCGGTAAGTTTATCATTGTCAAATGCAACGAAAGTCATTTTTTTATGTTTATATTGTGGCTCGAATGGTTCGAGTTTAGATCGTTATTTTGCGTAGTTATTCTGGGAGTGACGATTTTGTTTCCACCGGTTCGACCGAACACCGGTGTCTTTTTCTAGTCG